GAGGATTTTCTGCAACGGCATCTCAGTACAAACTCATAGGTACCCAATGCCTTCCATTCTGTCATCCATCATCTGTTTGAGGCTGCCCCTTTAGCAGAATCTCAGACTACTGCAATCAACGAGCATTCATTGTTCATACAGGTATGTTGCTCCTGGATCCTTAAAACATTAATTTAGTATAAAGATTAATTCAATAAAGACGAGTTGGTATGGCCACCTAGGTATTTCTCCCAGGCACCTTAGGCCTTAGAGATAGAGGTCCTGCGAGGCCAACACCCATCCTCCACGAAAGAGGTAATCACGCCCCACGGGCCAAATCATAGCTAGACACCTCGCTTGTTGCATAGCAAGGGAATCACTCGTCACACCCCCTCCGCAAACCAAAGATAACACCCTTTGCAGGTTCATATCCAACAAATCACACCCCTCACGCCAACCATAGGTAGAGCCGATCCAGCCACTTGGCAACTAGTAGGGATTCACCTGTCACCAGTCTAACAAATTGTTTCGCCACTTCGGCACTAGTTAAAACAACTGTATACACCCTCAAGAGAACTCACGATTCCATATACATATATTTCAGTATGTCCCAAATGCCAGAAGAAGGAATGATATTTCTATTCCAAGCTCATTGCCTCCCAGGATGTCACAGAGTACTGCTCATACACCTAGGGCGATATTTCAGCGGCCTGTAAAGCCTGAGACACAAGACTGAGTACAATTATTCACCAGTATAGTTATAACCTTCATGGTCTTGTGTCAGTACAGACACTACTGCATGCCACAGGTCTCAACCTATATTCCTGGCAATTGTGTCCTGTACGTCTACCCTCAGGTCATTGGACTCAGCATGTATATAGTTTATTTAGTTATGGCATTTCAGCATCTCTATCATGTTCCCCGTATATACCCTACATGTGTCCTTAAGGGGTTAATATGCGGTATTCTCATACTACCCTCTGTGATTTTATAGCTCATTGTGTTTAATTATATCCTTGGGGGTTTACGTTTCCAGATGTGATAATATTCAGGAATTTTATTAAAATTAATTTAGGGATCATTATTGGTATAGTTCTAAAAAGAAAAAGAATCTGTGGTAGGATGCACATTTTAATGGAATTAAATCGTCCCACCCATGAGGTAGTGCCCTTGTTCCAATGTTGTAATATGTCTTGTATCTTTCTCAATAATTTGCAGTGATTATTCTCTATCATAACCTGTTTCGAAATTTACAGCTGAATTCACAAATATTTTATTGAGTTCTTTCTCCACTCAAATGGGTATTCCGTTTTCAACAACTGCATTGTTGCTTGGTGAATATTTATAGGTAAAGCTTGCGTTTTAACAATATTGTTTTTATAATCTGACAATGTGCCATAATCTTTCAATAAATCCATTAGCAGTTTTAGTGCTTTTTATGGATTTGTGAGTGTTATCAGCAGTGGTGTATCCTGGTTTTGTGCTGCCCTAGGCAGGACAAAACTCAGGCGCCCCCTCCCCCCCGCGCCACCCCCACCCAACCCTTCCCCCCGCCCCACCTTCTAAATACACACACACACAGTCAGACACAAACACACACACACACAGTCAGACACATACACAAACACACACACAGTCAGACACAAACACACACACAGTCAGACACATACACAAACACACACACACACAGTCAGACACATACACAGTCACACAAACACACACACACACACACACACACACACACACACACACACACACACACACACACACACACACACACACACACACACACACACACACACACAGTCAGACACAAACACACACAGTCACACACACACATACACAGTCAGACACAAACACACACACAAACACACACAGACACACACAGTCACATACACACACACAGTCAGACACAAACACACACACACACACAGTCAGACACATACACAGACACAAACACAGTCAGACACAAACACACACACACAGTCAGACACATACACAGACACAAACACAGTCAGACACAAACACAGACACAAACACACACTCACAAACACACACACAGTCAGACACAAACACACACACACACACAGTCAGACACAAACACACACACACATTAACTTTTTTTTTATTTAAATCCCCCCCCCAACCTCCTTACCTTTGGGAGTGCTGGGGGGGGGTCTCTCTCCCTGGTGGTCCAGTGGCTGCAGGGCGGGCGGCGCTGGCAGGCGGGCGGCCGGCGAGGGAGCACTTCCCATGAGCTGACTGCTCAGCTCCCTCGGGCGTCGGCTGCAGAGTGAGGCTGGGAACCGGAAGATGACGTCATCTTCCGGCTCCCAGCCTCACTTTGCGGTGCGCGAGGGAGCTGAGCAGTCAGCTCATGGGAAGTGCTCCCTCGCCGGCCGCCCACCTGCCAGCGCCGCCCGCCCGCCCGCTCGGGATGTCAGTTAGCCGCAAGGCTAACAAGGCATCTGCCCTGGGCATTTGGGGGGCGGCGTTTTTTGCCGCCCCCTGAAAAATGCCGCCCAAGGCAAATGCCTTGTTTGCCTCGCGGCTAATACGTCCCTGGTTATCAGGACATCATCCGCAAATAAAGCCAATTTTTGGGGCTCCATATGTGGACTTAATCCCGTTATTT